CCACCCCCCCTTCCCCGTCCAATGTTTAGACCAAGCTTATAATGGAAATTTTGGTGGGAGTATGGATCATATTAGAGGGTAGAAATTAATATCACAAAGACGTTTCGCATTTAACTCCCATTTAAAGACACGGTTTCCATTTTAACCCTCCCACGCCACCCCCCCTTCCCCTCCCCATGTTTAGACCAAGCTTATAATGGAAATTTTGGTGGGAGTATGGATCATATTAGAGGGTAGAAATTAATATCACAAAGACGTTTCGCATTTAACTCCCATTTAAAGACACGGTTTCCATTTTAACCCTCCCACGTTTAATTCATATCCATCAAAAGTTGAAGGGGTAAAAGGGAAATAAACATTTATTATTGGGGAGAAGTGTGAACTGAAATATTGAGTCAACTCAGTTCAAGACAATAAGTGGGAGGCTAACATTTTATTAATCATACACATCTATTCCTCTATGATAATAGGAGGATCCAAAGATTTACTATTCATGTTATAGTAAATAACTGTAGCATTATTACTTTAGCACATACGGAAACGGAAACTGTAACGTTTTAAAACTATTATTGTAGTATTATCACTGTAGCACAAGGGATACTGTACACTTTTTAAAAAAATTACTGCAGCACTTACAATAAAACATTTAAAACAGAATTTCTGTAGCAAAAATAAAAAATGGTGGGGTGCAAAGCACGGGGTGCACACCAGCATAATTTTATTCTCAAATATCTCATGGTTGTTTAATTTTCAATATCATAGGCATGAATTCTAAGAAGAGGAGGGCTCATAATGGCCATGAACCCCAACCATCTCCTCTGTTTCCAATTATAGATCCAGCCCAACCCAATTTGCCCAAACATAGTTCTGGTCTCACATTAATCAAAAGTTTGTCATATAAAGGCACCATCATTCAAGAGAGGCAAATTCAAAAACTAGCAATGTATAACGTGTAGACTTTAAGCATCCAACACTACAGTAGAGCACGTATGCAAATATCATATGATGTCAATGTATATAACTTAAAATCAACAAAGCAAATAAACAAATAAGTAGCAATTAACCTTACTGTTATGTTTTTCGGATTTCTCTTTATATTCATATCTTTATATAATTATATATCATCGTACGTGACTTTTGTCTACTATTTCACCAAGTGTGTAACAAATAACCTACATAATTTGAGGAGGGGAAAAAAGGAAAAGGTAGGTCTAAGTATAAGAAAGGTCACATTCACAGTTGAAACTAATACCTTTTTGTGATCCGTGTGATAATTTTCCCAACTGCTCAAGCCTTAGTTGGAATATTAACTGCACGCCCCTCAAATATAATCATGTCAATTATTTTTCCAAATACGTCAAATATAACTATCACATTATAGAGAATCTGACAATTTGACCAGGACTATCACATGTATTGAATAAATCCTTCTCTCCCCTAATTTTCTGTTTTGTCAACTGAACACGCAAGGAGAGGTCCTCCTCGTCACTGACCACCTCAAATTTAAAAAAAACAGGCAAAATTAGAAAAGTTACAACGACAG